TACGTGCAACACGTAGCGTGAGATAGCTGGCTCGACTTCGGTTTCGGAATGCCGCGGTAAAGGGTATCTATCTCCCTGATCGAAATCTGGGAGCAGGAGGAAGGATACAGGCGGGCACAGTCTCCAGTCTAACTGTGGAGGAGGTGTGGTTGCGGTCGGAGCTGGTCGACCTCGTTTAGGACCGGTAAGAGCATAATGCGAATACGAGTCGCGTCGCGCCGCCGCCGACAAAAAGGAACGAGCGTAAAATCGATTGCGGCCGTTCCGTCCGTGTGTACTGCAAACACGTCAAGTATGTAGTAACTTTTCGTCTCTTTTTTTATCCTCTCTCTCTCTCTCTCTCTCTCTCTCTCTCTCTCTCTCTCTTCTGAGGCCGCGTCGCGTGAAGGAGCTGGACGCGGATGTATTCCGCTTCCAAGAAATGTGGCGGGTCTCCGTCTCTTTCGCCGCTTCCTCGCGCCGCGAATTTTCTCACTTCTGCCCGAGAGGTTCCTTTTTACGGAGGAAATGAGAATGTCGAACGAGAAACTGTACGCGTCTCCTTGAAAGTCGAAAGCGCGAGACCAGCTGTTCGAGGTAAGAACCTGAGATAGAAGCTCGGAAATCGCTGTTTTAAACTTAAAGAGGAACGACGGAAGGTACTACGGAGCGTACTACTTGAAATCGTTACCAGAATCGTTATTATCGTCAACTTGACGCACGGAACGCCGAGGCAGTTCTATATTTACTTTGCCTCTTGCAAACACTCCGCGTACGAGTTTACTTTACGATTTGTAACGTTACACTGTAAGTTTTCACGCCGCGTCATCGTTTAGAAAATCTTCAGGAAAGCACAGTTTTTCTTGCTTTTTTTTTTTTTCTTATTTCACGGACGCCTCATTATCATACGGAGAAGCGGATTAGTATTTTGAAATGCAAAGTGCCTCGGGAGGGTGTATATTCAAGAATAGAATGGTTCCGGGTCGTAAGCCGGAAACCGGTTTAAGTTCGGCTCGGGGGGACGAACTCTCCACATCGCCAACATCGCCTTCGGCGTTGTTAACAAACACGCGTTTAATGTACACCACCCGATAAATTAGAATACGGGTGTCTGAAATAGCACGGATAGCCCCAGCCTCTGCGCGGAAATTTATTTATTCGCGCGGCGGGAGAGGGAAAATTCGCGACGCGACACCGAAATGTAACGCCGCTCGTTGCAGACATCCTGTTCTCCATTTAGCCAGCGGCAGGAAGTACACGATGCGAGCGTCTCTTCTCATTTTTCGCGCGATTATGTGAAACACGTGCAACACATTCTCGCTTAAAGTCGGATGACCCAAATGAAGCGCTCGAGCAGATGAAGAAGTCTCGCGTCGATTAAGGGGGGAGGGAAGAAAAGAGGAAAAACGGAGGCCAGCGGCATCGAACTTGCCGATGCTCGAATGCATCTAATTCGATAAACGTAAGTGTGCTAAAGTGACGATCCGCATTGTCGCCGATGGCATATCAATTGTCGCCATTTAGTATCTCTTACGCTACATCCACATACATTGTGTAAAGCCACTTTTTTCAGTACTACTACTGGGAAAACGTGAATTCCGTAAATACGACGCGGTTTTGAAATAATCCCACGGTTTATTATAAATTCGTAAGCAGCTCTTCAAGGAAAAAGAACTGCGAATATTACCGTAATCTCTCTGATGATCTTGCGCGTTCGCGAGATATCTGTAAGCTATCGAAACGATCGTAATAATCCCGCTCTTGAAAAAAAGTTGCACAATATAACATTGTACAATTGTAATATCATTTTACTCGAAGTGGCAACAAACGTCTGCGGGATGCAGATTACTATAAAGCTACCATAAATCACAGAAAGAATGCATTCGACGTGATCGGCTTTATCCGCGTGATGCGGACCGCACGCTAATAGCGTGAAAAAACGATCGTTAATCATGCGACAACGGTTTCCAACTCACGGTTTACTGTTAGATTACAGGGATTACTCGGTTCGGCATGGTGCACGTAATTGAACGCAGCTGCGGCGTATTCACTTGAAAGATTCACAAATCGCGTAGCGAGAGGTGAAAATTGAATTGCGTTTTTGCGAGCCGCGTTTCAACTCGTTTCCTTCCTTCGTTTCGATCAATTATAATAATCTCGATAAAAATCTGCGCCTTTCAAAAGCCATTATTTCTGCAAACGAGGAACCTAAGAGGTACGTGTAATGAAAAACGTAAAATTTCAGACGAAAAGAATAGAACGCCGCCTCTCTTTGCGAGTGGAAAGTGAGCATTATGAGCTACATCGAGTCGCGTTAATTTCACGGTCAATTACAATTCTGCTATCTCTAATTAAACATTTATGATAGTTACCTCCAAAAAGCTATCCTTATCGTAATTAATACTTAAATTAATTTACTTCGCCGCTTTGTTGTTCTTTTTCTTTTTCCTTTCGAACGAAAATGTATCTTTGCCTCTCGCACGTATTTCGCATGGAAGACGTTAAACACGATAATCGTCCAGTTGTGTGACGGTCTGCCTCCCGACGATGTCTCACGTGAAATGATGTAATACGCGCTCTTAATGCGCGTCGAATGACTAGTACCAGCTACTTATTACCTCGCTCTTGACCTATTAAGCCTTTTGCCTCTCGAACGACGTACCCCGTGATCTCGAACGAACGGTCTCCGCCTCCCTCTCCTCTCCTCTCCACCAGGTAATTCCATTCCGCGTCCGTACGGCATCAAAAATTCCCAGACGTCTTACCGTTGTTAGGGGCGAGTTTAATGCCCGCAATCAAGCGGCAGGCTAACAGTAATTATTGCAGTAACGACGAAAAAGAATGCGAGTCGCGCCGTAGTAGCGGAATCCGCGCTGGATCTCTCACTCCCGCGATCGCGGAAGTCCCTGTTGTCTCTCTCT